CAAGTTGCGATAAATTTTTTATGAAGAAAATGTAATTGTTTTTTCTTCTTTTCTTCTTCTTATTCATTTTAGCAATAATTTAATTATTATTGAAGACGTATAATTATTACTATAATTTTTTTTCTTAAAGATTTCGGTGATTATATTTCAAAAGCTTTTAACGGTTTCATCTTCCAGTTCTTTAAAAATAGATGAAAAGTAAGATTAAAAAATTAATAAAAGTAATCTCTAGTTTCTGAAGTGATTCCTTGTTGTATTTTTTAAATTTCGCCATTTTCTATTTTAAATTCAAACTCGTAAACATTTTTTCAAAGATTATTTATTCAACGACGTTGAACAAAGAAGCTTTTTGAAAAAAATACCACAAAACAAATTCTAAGCCATAAAAAATCAAACGCTATATAAAAATGTTTGCAATAAAAACAATTTTTGTTGTTGTTGGAAATAACAAAGTTATATGTCGCAAAATTGTTTATTACGAACATTTTAAATAACGAAGTTACATATCACAGAAAAGCCAAATAAGTATTGAATAACATGTTACGTAACTACGTAACAACAACAACACGAAAAATTTCGCGCCCGAAATGGCTGCTAAACAAAATTCGATAATATTCAATTGTAATCATTGACCTTTTCATTGATTCATATCCGTAAAAAGTTTATTTAAGGCCAATAAACATGACGATAGATTAAGTATACTGTTACACATCCTTATTCTCGAGGTAATATTAAAACATAGTAATAAAATTAGTAGAAGAAGAAGCAGTGACAGAGGCAACAGAAATATCAGTAGCAGCAGTAGTAGAAGTAAGTTTTAACTGACTATAATATAAATTAAGACTTTCTTTTCCATCATATTTTTTCTTTTTATTATTTTCAATATATCATTGTTATACGCGCAAAACTCACGACGATTTAACGATCGTTTATTATTTAAACACAACTGAGTTAGCGATCTTAGAAGTCGATCAATCATCCAAAACATCTTTCTCTTTCTCCACACACGCACACACACACACACACACACACGCCAACACGTACACACACACAAAAACAAACACACACATATTTATTTATTTGTTTGTTTATTTGTTCATTTATTTTTTATTACACCATTTTGATTTTACGGAAATAAAATTTAATGTATGAAAAATGAACTCACGTTCTATGATTTTTTCAATAAATATTTTTTTAATTTTCGTATAATATCTTCAAAATAATATGAGGGTTTTAGTTTTTTTCTTCTTCTGAATAGTAACGAGTGGCGGTCGTCATTTATAGCGCTACTTTTTTGAGAAACTTCTGTGGCTCTGACGTCACCTTCCATATCTAATGGTGCTACTTTTTATGAGTAGGTAGTGCTAAAACCTTTAGATGTTTTTGCGTGTATATGTGTGCGTATGTATTCATGTGTTAGGTTTGTATGTGTAATATGAATATTGTATATTCATGTGTGAATGTGTGTGTGTACATTTTCCTGCGTCTGTGTGAGAGGGAGAAATAAAGGGAAAGTGTCGAATGTCTGTGTGTGTACTGTGTATGTACTTGCATGCGTGTGTGTTAAAGTTATCGGCATGTGTCGAACCTTGTGTCTTTGTCTTAAGTTGTTGAACGCATAGTTTTTCAGCAACTTTTTACTCACTTAAACACCAATATTATTTTTCCAGTGTACCAATCTGGTTATCGTCAGTTCCATTCGACTGAGAGGACTTTATTGGATGTTTGTTCTAATTTGTAATCACTCAATACTTTTACGCAAGCTCCAAGATTCATTTGGAGTATCGGGTGTTGTCCTTCAATGGATTCAGTCATATCTTTCTGGTCAAAGACATCAAATTTTGTTTAGATCTAATTTGACACATGTTGAAACTGTGTCATACAGTGTTCCACAGGGATTGGTTCTTGGCCCCCTCTTGTTTGTGTTGTACACGGCAGATTTTTTCAAATCACTGACAGATATAATTTCAAACATCACGGTTTTGCTGATGATAATCAGATCAGTGCTAGTGCCCCTTTGTCGTTTTGGTGATCTGGTCTGTAGACTCAAATCATGCCTCTCGAAAATTAATGAGTGGATGATGGCAAATGGGCTTAAATTGAATCAATCAAAAACTCAGTTTTTACCGGTTGGCACTAGGCAGCAATTGAAAAAAATGAACATTGAGTCAACCAGAATTAGCGATTCAGACATTAAGTTTTAAGATATGTTTAACGGTATTTAAATGTATTAAGGGGTTGCCCCAAAATGTTCAACTGATAGAGTTATTCCTAGAACAATGCCACTGGTGAGTCAAACATTGCGCTCTGACAATTCAGGTTTACTGTTTGTACCTGACACAAACTTGGCTCTTTGTCGAAGGGATTTTTCCGTAATGGGTCCTGCTGTCTGGAATTGTTTACCTAGAAACCTTTGTGATCCTGCATTGTCTGTTATTCAATTTCGTAAAAGGTTGAAACACAATCTTTTTGTCCAAGCTCACCCGTTCTAATGTTTTTTTCTCTCCATTCATTGCATTGTCTTAGTAAAGTGCTACGCAATGTATTACAATAATCGTCAGTGCCTCAGAAATCTTTTTAAAGGGCGCTTACAAACACACCAATAATAATAATAATAGTAATAATAATAATCTGCGTTTTTCAATGTGTATCTGTGTGTGTGATTGTGTGTGTGTGTGTGGTGTGTGTGTGTGGTGTGTGTGGTGTGTGTTTGTGTGTGTGTGTGTGTGTGTGTGTGTGTGTGTGTGTGTGTGTCAACCCTGTTTGCCAAGTTAATTTGAACAAGAGAAGTTAAAAGAAAAAAAATCCTTTTAAAATATTTTGAAAATTGAGTCACTGTACGGACATGATGTATTTCATGATATATATAAAAAATGGTTCTTTATTGAGGAGTTCGCGTTAATCTTTCCAGTAATGAAATGTTGGTTGTGGTTTGTGATAGACACCTATTTAATTATTTATATATTTATGCTAATTTATAAATTTGAATATAAATAAAAAATAACCTTTTAACGTTTTTATTATACAAAAAATAAATTTATCTAAAATGTTTGAAAACGCGCGAATCAATATAATTGTCCAATAAATATTCTAATGCACCATAATACAACATTGAAAATGAACGGCACTACACACGCGCCAGGTATATTTAAAAAAATTTTATTCAAGTCTCTGAAAAACAAATAAGTTATAATAGGGGCTGTTTGTTGTTTATGACACACACACACATGCATACGTACACGGATATATATGTATATATATAGAAAGAGAGAGAGAACGTTTATACAACATATATATACATATATATATATATATTGGGTTTAGACTATCATAGATACAATTATTTATAAAGATCACTGCGTTTTCGGCATTATTCAACTTGTAGTTGAGTTTCTCAATTTTTCTAACGAGACTTTTACCATCTTGATGAAGTTTATTAAGGTTAAATAAAAAAACTTTTAATAAATGTCAAATATTAAAAGTTTTTTATTTAACCTCAATA